TTCTCCAGCTCAGCATGAATCACGAGATCATGGGCCTCTAGGAGCTCTATTCTTTCCTTTCCAGGTGGCAGGGAAAGTTCCACGGATTTTTGCATGTGTCGCTGGATAAGCTGGAGCATTTTATGCCACGCAGTATTGTCTTTGAACGAGCATCGATAAATGCAAAAGCCCCATGGAAGATTTGGCTTCTTCAAGAGAGTCTCCGATCGTGACATTCGGATCCCTTCAAGTGGGATATCCTGTCCTGATGGTCCCGTGTTTGACATTTTGCGGATGATTTGATATGGCTGACGACGGAACGAATTAATGACTCGAGGTATGAAGAGCAGCATTTCAATGGGAGGCCATATCAGGAGAAGTATTTCGTCATTTGGCGGGTTTGAAGGATATAGAATTATTAACAGGCAAGTGAATGGACTGAAATCGGAAGTGGAAATAGAAAGAGGAAGAGAGGAAGGGGCCTTTTAGATTACCACATCACATGACCAGACATTAACCCCTTCAAAGGTTCTATTTTTGATTCAGCATCCATGCATGTTCTTAGTCCATCTAAGAATGAAATTACATCCATCAAATATCTGGATCGTTGTACCTCGGCTGGCTCCTATGAAGTTGTGTTGGCCATTTCACTCTGACCCCCAACTCATAGCCAATATCCAACACCAGACTCGGATTACGCGCAAACTCGCGGGCGATGATGACGACATCCGCTTTTCCAGAGGCTACGACGTCTTCAGCTGTCTTGCCATCCCGAATCATACCGACGCTTGCAGTAAGGAGCCCCGGAACTCCGTCCTTGATTGCCTGCGACAGATGTGCCTGATAACCTGGACGAAGTGGAGGCAACTGTTGATCAGGCACTAAACCGCCCGAGCTCACGTCTATCAGATCGACCCCAAGGGTTTGTAACAGCTGGCATAGTCGGACGGATTGCTCAGATGTCCAGGACTCTCGATCGGGGATCCAGTCCGTGGCACTGATACGATAAAAGAGCAATGTTGTGTCTGGAATAGCGGCACGAATGCCCTGCACAACTTCCAATGCAAATCGCGCTCGATTTTCGAAGCCGCCACCATACTCATCGGTGCGCTTGTTTGTGAGAGGTGAACAGAACTGATGAATGAGATAACCATGGGCGCCATGTATCTCGATCACATCAAAGCCAGCCTCTACGGCAAGCTTCGCAGCATTGACAAAGTCGGCAATCGACTTGTGAATCATTTCCTTGGTCATAGCGGTAGGGATCGGCCAAATTCCATCATTTTTATAGGGGAGAGTGGAGGGACAAATCAGGTCGTCTGGGAATCCATTTTCTTCTTTCTTTGCTGGCCGGTGTCCAAGCCATGGAGCAGTCACACTAGCCTTTCGGCCGCAGTGCTGCAATTGAACACCAGCTTTTTGCCCCTGAGAGTGTATGAAGTTGACAACGCGCCGGAATGACGGTACCTGGCTGGCTGTCCACAGACCTGCATCTTCCATTGTGTTTCGGCCTTCAGGTGAGACGGCTGTGGCCTCGCACATTGTGAGTGCGGCTCCTCTGGATGCGTACGAGCCTAGTTGGACCAAATGCCAGTCAGTTAACTCCCCCGTCTTGGGGCAGGAGTACTGGCACATGGGAGAGACCCAGATCCGGTTATGAAATGTGGTCGAGCGGATGGTGATCGGTTCGAAAATTCGGGGAACCGGTAGACTCTCATCATACATGGATAATAGAGACCCTGCTGGAGGCGACTGGACGGGTGTAAAGAAGCCATGGTCTCCCGGCATGGGCCCATTGATGGTTAGCTCTTTACTTCCATTTGAGCCCGCCATTTTGGGAACAGGTGAAAGTACAATGGTAGAAGTGTCGACGTGATACCTTTTGTGTTTCAGAAGCCAGGATCGGCAGTCGACAGAGGAATCGTATCAGTACCAGGTGACCTCGGGAGTGAACAGCCATTATCTATTTGACCTTCAGATTCTCTCCCTAGGTAGTCAAAGACCATTGATTAATAAGATATTGATTTATAATCGATGAAGGGAGCCCAGAAGCCATGACGATTTATTCGCAAAACAAAGAACACAATCTAACTTCTTCGGTCCAGATCGGAGTGACTCCGGAGTGACTAAAATAGGAATAGGGCAATTTTCGACTACCAGGTAGTTTAGCTAATGCGATAAATTGCAACTCGATATCTCAACCATGGTAGTCTATATGGGGTTTTCCTCATAGCTTAATGCTTTTAAGGTGACATCTAGCCTGCTTGGGGAGCTTGGAGAAATTCACGACTTTGGGATTGAGATATATATATTTCTAGCTTGGAGAAACAAAATCTTTCAGATTCATGCTAAGGCGAATTTTCGATTTGCTCGAAATTGACACTTAGTGCTAAAAGGCCTTACAAACAGCTATATAGAAGAAATAAAACGGGATAATGATGTGGTTATTGAGATATACGGGTAGATTCGGTGAGCGTCATGCAATACATCGGGGTTCCTAATTTCCTAATCGGGCTCCGAAGCTCCATTCCCCTTTCGGAATAGCGCTATGCGGGAACTACTATACTTCCTCTTTCGGAGTTGCTCCTATTGTGACTTGGTTACATGTACGTATCCATGAAATATCTTCAAGGTGTACCCCCTGCATTGCTGGCAATATGCTTGATAATCCCAGAGAATTGATTTCACAATTCAAACGTACCGGCAGAAAGCATCAAAGGGGCGTTCTGCTTGGTATAAGGGACTCCATCCATCGTTGGGCTTAATTCACCTTTTCGATAACGTTATTTTTCCGAAGTTATGGCGGCGACTGAGGAAAAATCTACAGCAATGGCTACTCGCACATTGGTCGCCGGTCTCGTCGCTGACTTCGTCACGGCTTGCCAGTCGTCGGTGAAGAGCAAGGACAATTCCATCGTTTGGGATCACCTAGAGATGGAAGGTGGTGGCCAAGGGGTAAGAAAAACACCACAGAAGCGTTGAAACAGCAATTGGCCGAATGCTAATTGAATCAATGAACAGCATGCGCTCGCTCCTACGGTCGGATCCATGTTTGAACGATACGCGCGCAGGGCCACGTCGGTGTTTGGTCACGGAACTGAACCTTTGCGCAGGCTTTTGCATGACTTCCGAGGCCACATCAAGGCTGGGGAGATGCTAATGGTAATTGGCCGACCCGGTAGCGGCTGTACAACGTTTTTAAAGGGCCTTTGCCACATGCATGCTGAATATAAAAGTACCAGCGGTACTTTATTGTACGGCGGGATCCAAGCAAATTTTCAAGAGCCTGCGGCTCCAGTTGAGACGACATTCTGCGGTAAGAACTGCACTCTGATATCTCAATTACAATCAGTTACTAACGACAGATTGGTGTCTAGCGGAGGAGGATATTCATTTCCCAAGCTTGACTGTGGAGGAAACATTGAGGTATGTTAAGTGAAACACTTCATGGCATGTTATCTCTTTATTCATAGGAGACTAATTTCAACTCTCCTATTAGATTTGCAGTCAACTCTCGGTTCAGCAACGTCATATCCTCTGCGGACGCACACAGCACCGTGGTCAATCTCGCCCGTTTGTTCGGGATCGACCATGTTTTGGCCACCAGAGTGGGCAATGAACAGATCCGAGGAGTGAGTGGCGGAGAAAGGAGGAGAGTGTCTCTAGCTGAAGCTCTAGTGACTTGCCCCGAGTAAGTTGACTCTATCATAGTGAAGTCAATACTGTTATATCCTGTGCAGCGCTTATACATTGGAAAACAATAGTCTGATTTGCTACGACAACCCTACTGCAGGTCTCGACTCCTCAACTGCTCTCGAATTCGTGCAGATGCTGCGAGAATATGCCAACCAGTCCAACTGCACTGTCGCTATGAGTCTCTACCAGGGAAGTGACGATATGGTTCCTCTATTTGACAAAGTGGCTGTCATAAATTCGGGACACTGTATCTACTATGGTGATGTAGTCGCAGCAAAGTCCTACTTTGAGAATCTAGGATTCTACTGTCCCCCAACAATGTCAATTACGGACTTCTTGAACTCGATGTCTGCGGAGCCTGAAGCACGCCAGTTACGCCACACAGCGGATAATTGGTCGATTCCGCAGACACCCCAAGAATTCGTCACTGCATTCTGGAAGAGCGAGAAGGGGATTCGGCTTGGAACACAGATCGAAGAAGCGAAAAATAATGCTAGCGTTGCGGAAAAAACCCCAAGTCAGGGGAAGAAATCACGACAGACATACTCGATTCCGATTCTCACACAAATTCTTCTCTGTGCCTACCGTCAGTATCGCATATTCATCACAGATTACAACGCCTGGATTGTCGAAGCTGCCTGCATGGTAGTTCAAAGTATCATCCTCGGTACCGTCTTTCGCAACCTGCCACATGAAACTTCATCACTGTACCAGCTTGGTTCGGTTGTTTTCTACGCGATCCTCGTGCCTGGACTTCAGTCAATGAGCGAGTTTGGCAATACCTTTGCACAACGGCCCTTGCTCTTGAAGCATAAGCGGTATCGTTTCTATCACCCGATGTCGTATGGATATGGCCAGATCCTGTCAGATGTTGTATGGAAAGTGGTAGTCATCGCGTACAACATCCCTATGTATTTCTTGGCCGGACTTCATCGCACGGCAGGCCATTTCTTTATTTTCTTCCTGGTTGCTTATATTTCCCACCTGTCGCTTTCGATGTTCTTCCGGTTCATCGCTGTCTTGTCACCGACCGTGGAACGTGCCGGTCTTCCCGTCGGCATTTTCTTGACGACGTTGGTCATCTACACGGGCTGGTACATTCCACCGCCACAGATGCAAGTCTGGCTAAAGTGGTTCCGGTTTTTGAATGTGAGTACCAAATATGCCTTGGATAATGGTTTCAGCGCTAACGCAGAAGATCTCGAATGAATAGCCCATGTACTACGCCTTCGAAGCGCTCATGATCAATGAAGTTGGGACTACTGCCTACGAATGTACTTCATCCGACTTAGTTCCTCGTGGCCGAACCTATACGGACGTGGCATACCAAGCCTGTGCCATCGCCGGCTCTGAGCCCGGTAAGGCTGGTGTAGAAGGCGCTTCATATCTCAGAGCTTACTACGACTTCGATAATTCTCACCTCTGGCGTAACGTCGGTATAAATGCGGGCTTCTTCATCTTTTTTGCCGTTTTGGTCGGGTAAGTAACAGAAATCTATAGAGAACTCAGTTGCTAACACGAATTTAGTCTTGCAATGGAGCTGTTCAGGCCCCCTGCTGGCCTCCTTGCCACAGTCTTTTATCGCCGGAACGTCGCAAATACTGTGCCTTCGTCAACCAGCAGCACTGAGAATGACCTCGAGGCACAAGGACTGGCTAAGCCGACAAGGAAGATACCGAGCTCTGAAGAGGTTCGGTCGCAGGACGGTCATTCCTTTGCTTGGAAGGATCTCCACTTGACGCTGCGTAAGGACGGAGAGGAACGGACATTATTGCAACACGTTGACGGTGTGTCCCGGGCATATTTACGCATACTCGCGGCTTTATTCTAACTTGTATTGAACTTAGGGTGTATCGAGTCTGGAACGCTGACCGCGCTGATGGGTGTCTCTGGCGCTGGAAAGGTCTGTCTATCTCTATCATGCTCTATGTTGTACAAGACTGCTCACAAAATCTCCAGACAACACTGCTGAATGTCTTGGCCGGACGCATGGGCATTGGTAAATTGACAGGTACATTATACCTAGATGGATCGCCGCTTCCAAAGTCATTCCGCTGGAGAATGGGTTATGTCCAACAGCAAGATGTTCATCTTCCTTCCCAGACAGTGCGGGAGGCTCTCCAAATGACGGCCCATCTCCGTCGTCCTCCCTCGCTTTCAACTGACGAAAAGAATGCCTACGTTGAAGAAGTTCTTGACATGCTCGGAATGCAAGATATTTCAGAGGCGTTGATCGGAGTGCCCGGTGCTGGCCTCAATCTCGAACAGCGAAAGCGGGTCTCTATGGGTATAGAACTAGCCGCGAAGCCAGATATCCTGTTACTGGATGAGCCGACCTCTGGATTAGATGGACAATCTGCTATCTCTTTGGTCCAGCTACTGAAGAAACTTTCAAGATCGGGTCAGACGATTCTATGCACGATTCATCAGCCTGCTGCAGCCGTGATCGAGGTTTTTGACAATCTCATTCTGCTGGCCAAAGGTGGTCGAATGACCTACCAGGGGCCTTTGGGTGACCACTCCTCAACGGCATTGAAATATTTCGGTCAGCACGTGGAAGCTTGCGATCCTAAAAGAAACCCGGCAGAGTACCTGTTGGACATCGTTGGGGCCGGTTCCCGGTCAAATGTTACCGCCGACTGGGCTCAAATCTGGTCTGAAAGCAACGAGTGTCGGGTTCAAGGTGTCAAGTTGCATGATCTTAAGAACGAGAGCCCAGCTGAGCAGTCTCGGCCCCAGCTTTATGCTACTCCTCTGACCCATCAATTTACCGTCGTGCTTCGTCGCACCTGGTTGTGGTACTGGCGCGAGCCAGAGTATTTCTCTGCCAAGCTTTGGATGAATGTGGCCAATGGCCTGTTGAATGGGCTGACGTTTTTGAACATCCCAAACAGTCAACAGGGAGCGTTCGACCGCGTTTACACGATCTTCCTGTCCTTCTTGATGGGCCCACCTCTTGGCTTATCCATGGAGCCACGATTTACCGCGTTGCGCGATATCTTTGTGTACCGGGAGAAAGCCAGTCGATCCTACCATTGGATTGTGTTTGTCATGAGCTCTATTGTCATTGAACTACCCTTCACCCTCATAACCGCCCTCATCTATTGGCTTCTGTGGTATTTCCCGGCTGGGTTGCAGACCGATCCCACTCATGCTGGCTACGCACTGCTTTGTTACTGGCTATTTTCCATCTTCACTGTCAGCCTGGGATACCTCATTGCTGCGTGGATGCCGAACTTGAATGCCTCTCTCATGGCTAATGGTTTCTTTTTCATGTTTGTGAATACATTTGCCGGCACTTTGACGGCGCGCGAAAAGACCCCGTCGGGCTGGAGTTGGTATTTCAACGTTTCCCCGCTGTATTACCTGGCGGAGGGACTCACTACCAATTCTTTGTATGGGCATGGTATTCGTTGCACATCAAGTGAAGTGACTGTTTTCCACGCTCCAGCCAACGACACTTGCATCAGCTACGCTGGTTCTTTCTTGCAGTCCGCTACAGGTTATTTGGTGAATCCGGATGCCACTGGGGCTTGCGATTATTGCCGCTATAGCCTTGGCCAGGAATACGTAAGTTGGGAACTCGGTATTAAGGGAACCTCTGCTAATCACTGCTTTTCTCGATAGTACCAACAATTTGGATACGATAACAATCGTAAGTATCGCGATATTGGGATATTCATTGGGTTTATTGCATTCAACTTCACGGCTGTCATCGTGGGTACCTACGTGACAAAGATCTACAAGTGGAAGCGGAAGACTGAATAAGGATGGGTTGGGGATCTCCAGTAGAGCTGATCTCTCGGGCAAAGTATCTTTGAATTTCTGCTTGGAAAAGCCATTCGTTGGATTATTATTTGCTTTATTATCTTCTTTCTAGGTTCTAATTATTCTTTTTTAATAATGTATCATTTTTTCTACATGTCCTTTGATTAAATGTAAATCTTAGAGATGACCATACTGTAAATGTAGGCTTTCGGCATGGGAAACTCCATTTGTTTTGATTCCTTGTGCTCTGAAGATAATAGGAAAAACAGGGTACATATCTCGCCGTATTTACTAGTTATTATTCAGGTTACGTCCTACAAAGGTACTTCTGAATTGAACCAGCAGGTTATGGAGAACAGAATCCCAAAAGAGAATGTCCCATTAAGAACACGCTTAGCCATTTTAAGCATTTCATCTCACCCATGTAGGCATATTACTTAAAGGAGCCAACCGGGGTTCTCCGATATCTCCGACCTGGGACGTTTTTAATCGAATCTGAATGTTGGAGCAAAGATTTGTAAGATAAATACTCCATATTCTATTAGACCCGCTTCATTCTCAACTTCACTTCGAACTGTGCTTAGACCACTTTCACAGAAACTATCATGCCTCGCGTGTTCTTTGTCACCGGAAGCTCAGCCGGTCTCGGGCAAGCTCTGGTAAAGGAGATCCTGGATAAAGGCGACTATGTTATTGCAACTGCTCGCAAACCCGAAGTTTTGATTTTTGAGAAAGCTACTTCCACCAACTTCCTCGCCGCTCAACTCGACCTGCTAGATTCCAATAGTGTGCTGACCGCATACCTCACCGGTGTAGCCAAGTTTGGTCGCATTGACGTGGTCGTCAACAACGGGGGATATGGATTGAGCGGCCCCTTTGAAGATCTAACCGACGAGGATATCCAACGACAGATGGATGTCAATTTCACCGGTGCACTTGTTTCGACTCGCACTGCCATTAAGGTTATGAGAGAACAGAGTCCTCCAGGAGGAATTATTCAGCAGATCACCAGCATCGGTGGTCGCATCGGATTTCCATGGATGTCCATGTACAGTGCCTCAAAGTTTGCTCTCGAGGGCTTTACCGAAGCCGTGGCGCAAGAAATGGATCCGAAATGGGGAATCAAATTTACTTGTGTTGAACCAGGTGGTTTCAGGTAGGTTTTGCCGAAAACTTCCAATCTGCACCGTGTACTGATCGGATTATTAATGTACCTAGGACGGACTTCTTCCCCCGATCGATGGTATACACTAATGCTACATCTTCGGTGTATGATCTGGCCGCTGTTAAGGCCCATATCAAGGATATAGAGCAATCCCAACGCGGCGATCCTCCAAAGGGGGCAAAGGCACTCTATCACTTGGCAACATTGGAGGATCCTCCCAAAAAGGCGGTTCTTGGAAGCGATGCCTATGAGTGATTGAATCAACACATGACAACCGAGCATCAGGATCTGCTTCACCATGAGTCACTCGCCCGTAGTACAGATGTCGATGATTGAGCATTGCTAGGACGAGATAAAGTGAGGTACCTTTTGTCAAACTTCGTCATACGTGTGGGCCCCTAGACATCTGCATGGGATAAGCGATTGGAAATAGAATGATTTCAAGACCTCGACCAGGTACAAATTCCAAAAGGGGATAATTTCAGGAATACCCGATTGGGAATGGACTGTACATAGGCCCCAATGCCTATTGTAGATAATCGGTAGTGGCTGGCTTGCACTGATAGATCAGAATATAAGCCATCTAGAATTTCATAATCTGAAGGTGGACTATCTCAACCTCGAATAGTACTAGTACCTGAGCCTGGACTGAAAGTAACCCGGACTCTGAGCGCCCTCATAAAAGCGGCAGTGACCTATACCTACTAGGTACATGTATACCTATTCTCCGCACTTTTGCCAAGAACTTCCCGTGTTTCGGTCTGACCCGAATATCTATAACAGACTTTGTTTCTTGCGTATGATGGGGAACGTGCGTATTGCGCACCACGTGCATCCAAGTACTCCGCCGATCTGTACGCTGGTAAGGTCAGGAGAATGAAAATGACTGGTGTAGGTGTGATGAGCGACGACGAAATGATGGATTCCTATCCTAACTAACTACCACGACTAAAAGACTATAATAGCAGTCCGCTAATTGTACCCGTAACAGCCTTGGAATACCACAAAGATCGACCAACGTCACCGCCAATCTTGCAAGGTAGGAGCCTTTGGGCATATTTTGCTTAACACGTGTACTCCTAGTGAACGGACCACAACTTGGCCGTCGGTCAACCCTTATGAGCGAAGATGACAATGTGCTTAAGCTGGCCTTGAATATAGCAAGTTCAGCTATCAGCTCCCTCGTCATCGTAACGATGGTGTTAGAGAAAGTGCTCGGCGTATTCCTCATACTCCGGCATGAAGTCCTCCATGTTGAACTTGTTATTCAGCTGCTTGTCCGATAGAATAGCATTGCCTGCTTCAATGTATCCCTGTCGGAATGTCGCGAACAGTGCCGGGCTCCTTAAATAATGTGGAATAAAACTTTGATTATCCCCCGTCACCATGGCTCCTTTGAAAGCTTGATAAACAACATCAGGATCCTGAGTCAGGTCTACCGCTTCGCACTGTCCAAAATCCAAGAGATACAGCCCAACGGCGCGGTGCTGAAGGTCTGGCCCATGGTCTGCGCCCTGGATCTCTGTGGCCGATGTGCCAAGCACAAACTCCACATCGTCGCCGTTGATGGCGGCACCCCAGTGCAAGGTTGCGTAGGCTTTACCCATCGCGTTTGCAAGGGTGAGAGTCCGAATGCCAATCTGCTCCATCGGCGCAAGGTACAGAGGGAAATTCGCAGCGGGAGGTCATGGTCAATGTTACCATTGGCCTTTCCGAGGTAGACTTGAGCGAGGCAGTGTTTATTTCCAGGGTGATTGAGGATGGCTTCGATTTCAGTGCTATCACAGTGTTCGGGAACGCAAAAATGAGAGATCAAGGCATTCCGCACCATTTTCGGTAATGGAAGAATCCATTCCATCGTCACAAGGTCGCCGCGCATGCGATAATCCTTGGGAGCTTTTTTGATAAGATTTCATCCCAGAAAGCGCTGTCTTGCTTCCGAGAGATAACTCGAAAGGTATCGGAACGCGGACTTCCCTATTGATCGACTGATAATGTTCGAATGCAGCGGAAACATCACAGTGGATCTTATACTCATGATAGAGGTTTGATGGTAGCTTTTCATTTCCTGGACTTTCTTTTTTCAGAGCCAGAGGCTTCCCGACCTGCTCGAAGACAGCTCCCTGTAGACCAACTCCGATTTGGTTGAGTCGTTGCAACTCGGGTCGAGAACGCGCAGTCTGAAAGAGGCGGCCGAAGGAAGAGGCCGTCAAAATGACAGACTTCAATCTCAGAGATTGTCCGAGAATCGCTAAGTCTGTCATGCGGGCGAGATCCGTTGCTAAAAATTGCCGGTCTGCGATGGAGAAGGCTTCTGAGTTGGCCGGTCCATTGCTGATTTCACCTTCACGCCGTTGAGCCATGGTAATCTCGCACTGATAGCTATGTTTTTGTGTTGTGTTGTTAATGATCATGGAAGTGGTGGCTGTCCACCTGGGCAGGCAGCAACCATCCAAGGTCGGAACATCCACGGGCCACGTGCCAAGTGCCAGTCCGCAGCTTCTTTAGGGAAAGTAACCGGTAATAACATTCCGAGGTTGTCATATACGTTGGCTAATTAGAACTCCCGCCTTTCACCAAGTCGTGGTATTGGGTATATCCCCCATTCTCTTCGATTGCACGGATCTGGTGTTCGGGGGTTTCGACCTCGTCTCTGCTGGTCATAGAGACAAGGGGTGAACCTAAGTCGGTTTCCTCATATCATCATCTAGTAAGATTTCCACCAAGATCTGTAAGGATGGGTACTTGTCTCGTGCGATGGATGAGGCTCCTAAGTACTCTGAGTCATGCACCTTCATTCTGACAACCCATACGGATCTGGCGTGGACTTGTTGTGTTGTTGACAGTTATTGATACGCCTGGAAGGAGCAAGGGGTAAACTGCAAGTGACTTGCCCAGGCCACGTGCCACTCACGTAATATGCCCTTTTCATGCAAGTAACCGCATGGAAGAATTCTCTCAAATTTATGCAAGTGCATGCTGTGGATATATCATTGAGCTTGCTCTTTTATCGAAGGCTCCTTCTCTCAAGCCTCATTCAACCTGCTAAGTTAGAGCAAGTTATCTACTGACCTTGCTGTGGTTATTTCAGTCGAGTACGAAGCCCTGTACTCACCATTCACAATCCCATTCAGTATAACATCGGATATCCCTAGTCTCTTAATATCTATTACGCGGATAGATGTCCCTAGTGTTGTAGATGTGGACATAGATGGCTATACATATGTAGTGAATCGACAAGTTGTGACAGCTTCAGGCCTTGCGTTTGCTCTCCAAGACAAAACAGTTTTCAGACTCGATTTTTCACTTTCTTCTACAAACCAGAGCCTCTTTCTCCTTACCTCTCACTTTATCCTCACCTGTTTCTCTCTATTTCTTCACATATTTCTCACTTTCTCTTCCTCTGCCACTCTTTTCTTGCCATCTACCACTACCTATCTTCTCGCCTCTCTATCCTAAACCAACACCCCCATTGGCTTCCTCGTCGCCAGCAAAGGTACTCAAAGATGAAGTCAGGCACTTTCTGTTGACTAGCTAAGCTAACTGGTGTTGCCAACTTTAGACGACCACTGCGATGATGGTCCCGCTTGCTCCTTCGGAGCACCCCAACCAGATTCTGCGGAAGCTCGGCGCCCCGTATGACCCAGAACTTTCCATTAGCTCTACTTTTGGTCTCGTCGGCTTGCAGCAAGGCTGGAAACCTGGTTCTAAGCCTTGGAAAAAGAATTGGAATGCTTGCATGAATTGCGAGTATGACCGATTGGTTGGCTGCCGTGTTACCAGCCTCAGGACTTGGCAAGAGCTATGTGCAAAAGTGGGAATTAAGGATTCCTTCAGATCAATAAATCAGTGCAAGAAGGCAAGACACCAGTGTGAACTGTTTTTCAATCACTCGCTAACTAGTCTAGGCCCTGGCTCGTGTCCACGTGAACATCGTCGACGTGCTGGATTTGTGGAACTCCGACACCAAGCCGATTCGATTCCAGAATAAGGAGGCCCTTGCTACATACACCAAGGCAACCCAGAAGTTCTTTGGTCGACACATTGCGAAGCAAGATAAGGTCCTCCGAGTTCTGCTGCGTAAGCTGCTTTAAAGAGTCATTCTGTCTGGGTGTGCGGCGAACATGTCTCTTCTAAGGCATATGGTCCCAAGGGATGTTTTCTTCGATCGAAAAGTCTTGATATGCACATTGATACAATGGGGGAGATTTGCTCTTAAGACAGCTGGGATAAATGAGAATTTGAAATACTGAAACATGTAATCTCCGGCTTTGATGTAATTTCAACTTTGAGGTAAAAATGTGTCTACATGATACAGAACAGTGGTGTCGCAGCTTCCTCGTTTTCCTCTCTCGTTTTCTTCTTCAAATGATAGTCGCTCTCTTCTCACTTCTTCTTTCTCTCACTTCATCCTTTTCTCACCTGTCACCTTCACCTGGCGCTCTTCATCCACACTTCTTATCACTCTTCCAAGTCAACATCACTCTAACTTTCTTCATCTCCTTTATCCAAAAATGTAAAGATGAGTAGCATTCCTACTAATTGGCCAAGCTAACCTGGGTGTAACTTAGCCAACCACCCACTTCCAACATGTTAGTCTCGCTTCCTCCTCCGAACGCTCCTCCTCCTCCACAGTATCCCAACAAGCATATGCGAAAGCTTGGTGCTCCCTACAGCCCGGAGCTTCCTATCAGCGCTGCCTTTGGATTTATCGCCCAGCAGTGAGGCTGGAAGCAGGGTTCCAAGGCCTGGAAAAGGAACTGGAACGCCTGCATGGACGACGAATACGACCGTCTGATTGGCTACCATGTAGCCAACCTGGCAACATGGCAGGATCTGTGTGATCTGTGTGCTAAGGTCGGCCTAACGATTCATTCACATCCGTCAATCAGTGCAAGAAGGTAAGGTTCCCCGTTCTAGCCAATTTTGAAGATCGCTCACTTACTAGTGTAGGCTCTGGTGCCGGTGCACGTCAACCCCGCCGACCTTCTTGATTGCTGGAACTCCGACTGCACCCCCACTCGATTCAAGAGCAAGAAGGCCCTTGCTACTTACACTGAGGAATACAACAAGTTCTTTTGGTCGTGACGTCGCCAAACAGGAAAAGGTCCTCCGAGTGCTCCTCCGAAAGCTTCTCTAGAGGGGTACAATGGAATATCTTTTGAAGACATGGGATTCCTATGGGTGCACTACTTGCATTCTGCACAGGTGGAAACAGGAGGATTATCTTATGATGCACAGATAGTGAGAGAAACGAAACCGACATCTTCAACATTGTACATTGCACCTGTAACTAGTACGTAGATATTTTGAGTGTCCCCATCGTCTCTATTAGATATTGGCGCACCTTCCTCCAGATCGGTGGCCTACATGTGCCTTCCCAAGTACAAATTTGCTGTCGCCAACCAACATTGCCTTTTACCAGCCTTACGCTCCTAGTTCTACTTCCACGGTCCTTGGCGTCTTCGGGGACCTGCTCAACCGTCATAATTCAATGCTCCAACCACCGGTGATACCACATTCGACTACATCATTGTTGGTAGGGAGCAGCAGGTCTAACCATTACGGCACGACGATCGTCGGGCAGGAGTATTTCCCTTGGCCGGTTT